CGTGCGTGCGTGCGTGCGTGCGTGCGTGCGTGCGTGCGTGCGTGCGTGCGTGCGTGCGTGCGTGCGTGCGTGCGTGCGTGCGTGCGTGCGTGCGTGCGTGCGCGTGTGTGTGTACGCGCGTGCGCGTGGGCGTGTTCGTGTGCGTGTGCGTGTGTGTGTGTGTATATATATTTCACTTTTTTGAAGTAATCTTATAATTATTATAGGTACTTATCACAGGGTGATAGTGTTAAATTAAAACATGCAGAATTTAGAATAGGCAAGTCAACTGTTCATAAAATAGTCAACGAAACTTGTTGGGCGATTTGGACTGTCCTACAGCCAATTGTTTTAAAAACTCCTAGTAAAGAGGACTGGAAATCAATTAGCGAAGAGTTTATGAATAAGTGGCAGTTTCCTAATTGTCTAGGAGCAATAGATGGGCGTCATATGAGAATCCAGGCCCCACCCAATTCTGGATCAAACTTCTACAATTATAAACAATTTTTCAGTATGGTATTACTTGCCACCTGCGATGCAACATACAAATTTACTTGGATTGACATTGGCCAATATGGTAAGTATATTAATTACTCTTGAATTTTTTAACTACTATTCATAATACGTTATCTATGTTATTTTTTCTCTATGATCCGTTTCCAGGGTCTATAAGTGATGGTGGAACATGGGCAAACACTGATTTTGCAAATGATATGGCTGCAGGCAATATATCTTTGCCAGATCTCACATTCCTTCCAGGGACAAATGTCCCCTTTTCTTTTGTTTTTATTGGTGACGAAGCATTTCCTTTATCAACATATATGATGCGACCCTATCCTCGCAAAAATCTGACTGATGACATGAGGATCTTTAATTATCGTTTGTCACGTGCACGGCGTACGATAGAAAATACCTTTGGTATTTTGACTGCGCGATGGCGTATTTTACACAAACCTCTTTGCATGTCAATAACCAACTGTGAGAATGTGTTCAAGGCCCTCGTTTGTCTACATAATTTTATTATGCTTGGGGAAGAACATGAAAATATGAACAATCGTCAATATTGTACAACAGATTTAGTCGATACTAAGCTACATGATGGCAGCATTAGAGAAGGACAGTGCAGACGGCACTTTTCTCCACATTTTGCTGAAATTGGACGATTAGGTGCTAACCGTGCAGATGCTATAGCGAAGGAGATGAGAAATACTCTTAAAGATTATTTTGTCTCTTCAATTGGTGAAGCCCAAGCTCCATGGCAATACGATTGCGCATTCAGAGGGGCTAATATTAATCTTCCTCAGTAATTATTTTTTAATATGATACATGGAAAGAACAATTTATTCAAAACTGAAGAAATATGCAGAACAAAATGTTTATATACTATATATTATGTATTTATAAAAAAATAAGATGTACCAAAGTAAGATATGCTCAAATGATAACTTGAAAACTTGTTATCTAAATGTATTTTGATGTATATATAAATGTATATAATTAAATGTATTAATATGTATTAATATGTATTAATATGTAAAAAAATATGTAAGAAAGATATATAAAACATATGATATTCAGTTTATATAAATTTAATAAAAATAAGATGATAATTTATGTTCTTAATACAAGTATGATATGTATAATATATATTTTTAGAAGTATATATGCATTTTATATAATATTCAAAAGAAGCAATAAAAAAATAAAAATTCATGAAATGTATTTATTATTGATATACCTTCAATTTTATTCTTTATTTTAAGCAGTCTTCTTTATTAATCTTTAATAATCTTTAGTTACTAAGTAAGATATGCTCAGACGAACTAGAAATCTGCAATCTAAATAAATATATAAATATAGATAATTAAATGTATTAATATAGTTACATAAAACACAAGATATTCAGTTTATATAAGTTTAATAAAAATAACACGATAATTTATATTCTTAACACAAGTATGATATGTATAATATATATTTTTTATAAGTACATATGCATTTTATATAATATTCAAAAGAAACTGTAAAAAAAATAAAAATTCATGAAATGTATTTATTATTATTGATATATCTTCAATTATATTCTTTATTTTAAGCAGTCTTCTTTATTAATTTTTATTAATCTTTAGTTAAAACAAATACTTAACTTTTCAAAACTTATTATTTAATGTAATAATTATCACGTAGTATAGGAATTGTAATACAATATATTTATGTTATAAATTATAATATTAATAAAAATAAGACGTACATTACTAGTAGTA